AAATCAAACTATTTTTCCACTACTGAAGTTCCTTTCCTACATAATGACCAGAAATCACCAAAGTCCATAATAAACACGTTATTCTGACTGAGATGCTGCCTAGAATTAAAATGGAACAATATCCTTGATCAGATTAATACATTAATGAGATCTTTCACAAATTGCAAAGATGGTGACTTCTGAGTTTATTTAAATGACAATTGCAACGCACATATGTGTGCCCCAGGCTTACAGACCTTTGGCATATTGTCTCCTAAAGCACCAGTATTAATGATTTAATTACAACCAATATTTTTCCTTTCCCATCTTGATTTTTTTTTGTTGTTGTTCTAATTACCAAAATTATCATAAAGAAAGATCATATTTTGTATAGTAGCTTAGACCACCAGAGGGACACGAAGAGAGTTTTATCCCTCATTTGTATAACCTCTCTTGAGGTGCCAAAAGGGAATCTCTCTAATGATAAAACCACAGAGGCAGTTCTTGAGAGTTTTATGCCTCACCAAGTAATTTGCAGGGGTGAAGGAAACAATACATTAGGCCAAGGAATGTGAAATTTATCAGAGGTTAAAGTGAAATACAAGGTGTGATGCCAGCTGCTTCTTTCATGAGCACCAGAAGACACGAAGGATAATTCCTGACTTGAGGCTTGTCTTCACTCTGGAAGAAAATGGATGTATTGTTAAATAGGGCTGTGCTGAAAGGATCTCAGACTGGCTCTAGATGTGACAAGGGATTCCCAACTGGTTGTTGAAGACTGCCTTCCTCAGACACTGCACCAGCGACATCTCCTCCTCAGCAGCTCCTTCTTCTCAAAAGGAGAATCTTCCAGCTCTTTCAGAAACCTGTGACCCCAGCTCTACCCTCATACTTGAAACCTGATTTTATTCTGATGTTAACTCCCAGAGGGGAAACTGTCTTTCTTCCTGCTATTCCCTGGACTCTGACTGGAGCTGAAGACAATATTTGCCTGGGACTTGACTTTCCAGGAACAACAAATCAGGAAAAAAGACAGACAAACAAAACAGGGAAGCTTCAAGTCTTAACTATTCTATTTGAGCAAGGTGGTTCCCGGGCAGCCTGCGCTGACCTCCCATCCATGTACTTTTGACCAGGAGCAACTCCTGGCCCTTTGGCATGCTGGGATGAGCAGGAGTCTCAGAGTGTCCCTCTGCAATGTCCCACATGGTCACCCCCCACCCCTGCTACCTTACTGAGCCAATGCAGTGAGCAGCTCCCAGATAAAACAGGTCAGGCTTTTAAATAAGCTATGTAGGAGATTTGAACACACAGTCACACTGAAATGGCAAGATTTTGGGATCAGTGCCCTCTAGATAACTTTCTGTTTTCCACTTCATGTAAGTTACCCAACATACCCTCCTTCTTTCCCCCTGTAAATGAGTGACCCATTACCCCAGGCTGCAACAACTTAGGTAGTTACTGGAGACAGAAACCAGCTGGCTTGTTGAAGCATTTCTCAATATCCCAAACTCATCCTCATTTCCTTTTCTTATGTCTTTACCTGTCACATTCTTTGTGGAGAAAGGAAGAAATGCATTAACTAGAGTGCAGTGAGCTCTTCTCCTCAGCCTTCCACCCCTTGCCGCCTCCACGACCTCACAGAGATTTCACTAAAAATGTATAATTAGGTTCTGCAAACTGACTTCCTGACCGTATGCACTCTTTTCAAGTGCAGAATCTCTAAGTGGTGGTGCGTGTTTTTCAGAGCTGCTTTGAGTACAACTTCATTTTTCTAGCTTTTGTTTATGAAGTTATATTTACTTACCAGTGTCCGAGTACATCAAAGCCAGGTCCGTTTGAAAAAATCTGACAGCTCATAGATGATGTCACTTACTGGCCTGGATTTTGTGTATTCTGAAAAAGGTGTTATAGAAAACAGCTATAAATAGTCTGTGTTGAAAAGGCTGTGTTTGCACATGAGCTTGTATGTGTTTGTCCATCCTTGTACTAGTTTACCAGAATACGTAAAGAAATCCCATCCTGAGCAAGGGTTGATTTAAACATGATCTGAAGTGCTCTGCTAACACAGTGTGTACCAAAGCTCATTCAGTGCTGAATCTGTGCCAAAGTGCTTTTCAGATAAATTACAAATTAATGCAATACCTCTTGTGAGCTAAAGTATTTTTATTCTCTACTGTTCTCCCTCTCTTCACGTGGGGTCTGCTGGTCCAGTTGTGGGCTTTTTCTTTTAATCATCATCATTTTCACGAGCTGTTCAGGAGAAACATTCCTCAAAAACATCCATACTCAAAATTGATCTAGTTTACTTAAGACTCTTACTGCAAACTGGAATCCCTATAACACAAATGCACCCTCCTCACCCCAGATGTGCTTCAGCCTGGATTGTGAGAGCTGCTCTGGTGTCCAAAGAGTGTCCCTCTCCAGGACAACATCAGCATTACCTGCCAGGTGACAGTGTGTCCTGCGCTGGCTGTAGCTTTGTAGATGAAGGCTGAGGACCTGCCTGACAGTGAAAGCAGTCTGGGAAGCAGTGATGACTTTCAGGCGCAGAGGTTATACCTGCTCAGCTCCTGCCTTTACAAGGTAGACCCCTACACTGGCAAGCTGTCTTAACCTGATACATCCTTGTGACAAATACATGGACCAGGCTGACCGGGTCCCACTCTAGGGGAAAAAAAACAAGCAAGCGTTTTATGATGACCTGCTTTTTCCTATCCCCAGTGTTAGGAGCTTGTTTGTACGCTGATAGTAGTTCCAAAAAAGGGGCCGCGAGCCCCAGGCAGGCAGTGCTTTTCTTGGAGAGCAGCGCTTCTGAAATGAGAAACAGACGGGGAAAATAAAGACGGACTAAAACATACAAGCAAGGAGAGTTTGGTGGGCCAGCGATGTGGTTTCTTGTTCCTTTTGTGTGGATGGTACCTGCCTGTGCTCCTTAGTGCACACTGCCACACAACCCAAAGGCTTCGAAGATCATCCTAGTTGCTTCTAATCACAGGCTCACAAAAAAACCCCAACTTTTTAAAATGCTAATGCAAAAATCCAGGACACTAATAATAGAACTATCTAGAACATTTCATTACCCGCTTTTGATTTGCCAGCCTCCATTTAGGAGAAGAACAAAATCGCTAAATCTAAAATATTGCTCTTAACTACCACATCACTAGCAGAAATTCATGCACTCAAACTCAAAGGAGAGCTCACAGTGACACCCTGGCAGCTCTGCTTTTCACACAGTAAGCATAATCTTTCTGGTTAAATCACTATCAGTGCAGATTTCATCACACAGGGCCCAATACCAGATCTGAGCTTTCTATTTTCAAGTTCTCTTTTCTCAGGGATGTGAGATCCCTGAGATCTAACTAAAAAAATGAGCAATTATAAGGTTGTTTGAATCCCTGTAAGTGTTGGAGCCAAAGCCAGTTGGATCTTGCAGTGTTTACAGGAAGCTTTGCCTCTCTGACATAGTTTAGTTCCTGGGACCTGTATCCTTTGTCATCATACCTGTCCTCTTTGCCCACTTTTCAGCAGGGCTTGTTAGCTGCATTGATATGGCCATCAGAGTTTTTGCTGACTTGGGAGATGGCAGAGAGAGCTTTTTCCTAACAGTGGACATACTTCCAGATAAAACATAGCAAGTCCTGCTGTGAGATTGTCAAGTCCCTCTAACTCAGTGGGTGTCCTATATATTTGAGGTGTCTGCATTGCAACAAGATTTTGCTGAATTCGGTATGTTGACTTTACAGAAGAAAAATCTTGGCACAAGTAGAAGGAAATGTGTGGGGGGGAAAGCAAGATGAGATGAACTAGCAGGAGTTTCTGCTCTGACCCCCAGTCCTGTTCTTATACACCTACGTTCCCCGAAAGGTGCCGTGGGGAAATAGGGAAGCAGCTGTGACAGCAGCAACAGGCAGGGACTGTACGTATAGCGAGGAGCTGAGGAGAGGGTGGTTAGTCCCAGCTCTCTTTTAAGACACAGCACACCATGTTGCCCATGTAAGAATCATGCTTTTCAGGCACACTCTTGGAAGATCTAGGCACAAGTACAACGAGGTGCTTTGAAATTACTACATATGTCTTCTTGAGATATTTACACTCCAGGGACCACCCACGTCACAGGATGTGTTTGAATTGCTCACCAAGCTTTCTGCTGGAGTCGAGATGAAATTACAGATTCTTTTTTTTCCCGGAATGCAAGAAAAATTAGCAACTTTCTGAATTATTACTATTATTACAGAGGTATTTTTTAAAAATAGGTCCCATTGTTGAAGACCTTTTAAGCACTGGGGGAAGTCTTTGCACCTCTTCAACTCCTTTAAATGCTGGTTTACTTAACCTTAGCTTGTAAAAAAAACGCATGGAGGTAAAAACAGACTCTTCTTCTCTGTGAACCAGTTTAAGCAAGTTGAGGAAGGGATATGGGAAGAGAGGATGAAATCCCCATTAGAAAAGATGCTTTATTTTCTGTGTTTACATGACAGTGAAATCCTTGTGGATACTCTTGTGCAGAGACAATATATTTTAGTTTTAATTGTTTCAGTCAATGTCAGTTTTACATCAAACATGCAATAAAGTAAAAGTGGCCTTTGGGAAACATCACTGAACCTTATTTTGTGCTGCAGTACTGCCAGTGTAAACATCTACTTCTGTTTTGTAAACTCAAAGCCAAATGGAGAAAAATTTTCCTTGCAGAAAGATTACTGACCTGTCAGCATCAAAAATATTATTTTTAGCATATAAAAATTGCTTTTCAGTGATTGTAATAGCAAGAATCTTTGCAAAGTCCATTATTGCTCTAGTAAACATTTTCCTTTAGGCAGCAATAGTAGGAAATTAATTAAGAAGTTAGCTGATAGCAACTGGATAAGAAAAAATTATAAAGTGTCACAGCTACAGAGTTACTGGGATAAAATGTATTTCCTTTCTATTTAAATTGTTAAATGTTTACAGTAGCTCTGAGAAAACATCAGATCTAAAGCGTTTTTGGTAAGTTATAATTTATTCTACTGCTTGCTTTCCAGAATGCTAGAAGATGACCTCAAGTTAAGCAGTGATGAAGAAGAGAATGACCAGGTAAGAACCAGACAACTAGCATGTCGCTTGTAGCATGTTTCATGTCGAGACTGAGCTACTGCAAATATTTTGCTAATGCTTTTTCAAAACATACATAGAGGTTATCAAAATACATGGCAGTACTGTAACTGGAGTAACAGATGTTGCTGTTCGGAGCCAGCCTCCGTGTGCTAACTGCGGGATTGGTAGGGAACAGTCTGCACTGCTCTTGATTTATTACCTTGATGTGACCCAGAAGGTTCTTGTATCAGCTGCCTTCTGATTTGAATTTGTTTTGTTTTAAAGACCAGCCAAGGAGGGGAGAAACAGGAATTCTGGATTAAGGGTTCAAGCCAAACTTTTGCAATCATGAGATGGCCTCAGGGATTAGCTGCTGGGCTGCTTATCTTTTACCTGCCTCTGGCATCCCCCCAGCCCTGGCCTCTTCTCTGAGCATTTTTGGTTCTGTCTCTGCGTGGCCTGTGCTTGCTAAGAAAGCTAAAAAGAACTGAGAAAAAGCCTTGGCTGTGTATTTGGTTCACTTTGTAACACAGTAATTAGGGCAATTGCCTGTGTTTTAAAGACCCCAGACTACCTGACTGACAGCAGATACATCATCTGAAGTTTTCCATGTGTCAGGAGAGCTGGGTTTTGTTGGCTGTGGGAAGTGTCTCCCAGTTTTTCCTTAAAATATTGTTCTGTTTTGTCTGAATAATTAAGGACTTGGTAGAATAAGGCTGGATCTTGACTTTCCCATGACCAGCTGAGTGCCTTGATGCCAAGCAGTGCTATGCCATGCTCTCTGTTTCTCAGTATCCTGGCATGGGTGTTTTGGTTGGGGATGAGAGGCCAAGAGCCACTTGCCCTGAAATGCGTGCCCTGTGCCTTCACTACATGAGAGCAGTACTGCCCCTGGTTGCATCGCACAGATGGATCCAGACCTGGATATAACATGGGTTTCTGTCCTGGTTTTGACTGGGATAGAGTTAGTTTTCTTCCTAGTAGCTGGTACAGTGCTGTGGCTTGGATTCAGTATGAGAATAATGTTGATAACTCACTGATGTCTCAGTTGTTGTTGAGCAGTGCTTTCCCGAAGTCAAGGACTTTTCGATGTCTCATGCTCTGCCAGCCAGCAGGTGCATAAAAGGCTGGAGAGCTTGGGGGAGAGCATGGCCAGGACAGCTGAGCTGAACTGGCCAAAGGGATTTCCCTTACCACAGAACATCATGTTCAGTACACGAACTGTGGGGAGTTGGCTGGGAAGCACCAATCGCTGACTGGGGATGGGCTGGGCATTGGTCAGTGGATGCTGGGTGATTGTACAGGGTATTTCTTGTCCTTGCTTGGGTTTATTTCTTCTGGTTTTGTTGTCTCCCTTTTTATTGCAATTATTACTATAATAATATTACTTTATTTTATTTCAACTGTTTTTATATCAACTCAGGAGCTTTATAATTTTTTCTACCTCCACTCCCACTGGGGTGGGGGGCAGTGAGCAAGTGGTTGCATGGTACTTAGTTGCTGGCTGGAGTTAAATCATGCCAGTTTCAAATATGATTATTTCAGCCATGGGTAACTAGAGTTATCCAGACTTGAAATTCAGGATTTTAGACAAATAATTCTAGGTATCTAGGCATGAAGCTCTTCCAGGGTTTTCTTTAACTCTTGTTAGTAGATGTCTCTATTTTACAATATATTCCAAACAACAGGTAAATCAAAACTTTTTAATATTTATACTAAACCATTTTTTCATCTCTTTTGAGCAAGGCTTCTTGGTGTTAAGAAGATTCAGCATGTAGGTTCGATTATTTACATATTTATACAATTTCTTTTTGTTTGACGTATTTCATCCTGAAACACTTCACATTTAATTACTCTTCCTGCTTGTCTAGATAGTTTAAAATACAGTTCATAGACAGCATAGGGCAAAGTAAAGTGAGGGATGGAGGGGATGTCTGAAGAATAACAATGGCACACCAATGTGCCGTGGTGCTTCCTGCAAGGGGCTGGGTGGGAGGGGAGGGACGAGCTGGTGGCCAGGCAAGGTGGTTTGTCCTTCAGGCAGGGAGACGGGATCCTGAGCAATGGGCATCAGAGTGGAACAAGCTGGCAGAGCCAGAGAGATGAAATTCTAGTTTGCTTCACAGCAAGCAGAAAAGGAGATGTGAAAGTGTTTATTGTGCATAAAGAACATTAGTAGGTTTAGGCGAAGAAAGGATTGTGGAAAAATAGCGCCGTTCAGGCATGCGCACATGGTGCCCTTGGTTTAGCACTATGACTTACAGTTCTTAACACCTTCCATGTGCTTGGATTGCTCAGTGTTATGTGTGCTACACAAGGTCTCCCCTTGGAAACCGGGGCTTTAAGATGCGGCTGATACAGCCTGGGTCTTTCACCTCCGTGCTCGAACAAGCTCTGCAGAGCCAAGACAGAGCTTGCCACCCGTGCAGCAAAGAGCAAGGCTGGGATCCCATTACTCACTTCTAATCATCACGGGCCTTAGCATGAGCAGCCTTTGGAGATTACTTAGTTATTTGGTCCCCTTTCCTAGTCACATTTTTTTCCTAACTTGACTCTACAGACAAAAATGTCCCAGAGGCACAGACTGGCTCCTGCTCTATGAAATGATTTTCAGAACCTCAACTGAGACCTGCAGGTTTGCTTAAAGAACAGTCTTAAATAAATATGCCTGCTGGATAAACAAAACACTACGTTTTCATCCACCTAGCAGGAAGTAGACCCAAAAAAGAATAACACAACCCTCTCTGCCAGTAAACGTGCAGATGGGAACATGGATCTGTGTTTAAATGTCAGTAGGAGAACTTGTTTCCTTTTACTTCCTAACTCAGAGACTCTTTAATTTCCTATCTCCTGAGCTTGGGAACAGTAAAGAAAGAAACGGAAGATAAATGGATAGGAACAGTACATGAGAGATTCCCAGATATTCCTCATGTAATTCGTAACCTTTGAGCCATCAGACTCATTCAAGTAGACCAGTTCCTCAAAGAGCTGAAGGTGAGCTGTACAAGAGCTGGGAAGCTTTTCATTTTGCAGATTTCTAAATGGAGAAATTTAGGGAAAAGACTTTGAAAACTTTGGAGGAGATTTTGCATTTACATCTGAAATTGCCAAGCTGCAAACAGGAAGTTTCTGAAGCAATGCAAAGGTGCTTGTGTGCTCCCAAGGCTGGCATTTGGAGGGCTGTTACTGACCCAAGGAATGTGAGCCACGGATGAGGGAGGCCAAATGCAAGACAGAGACATGATTAAGTGCTTCAAGACTGCAGTGGGCAAAGCATTCCCAGCCCTTCCCTCTGTACCAGCAATTAAGGTAGTGATATTCACAGACCCAGGAGAAGAAAAAGAGGCTTGGTTTGAGCTGAGTACATGTGCACCCACAGTAATTATATTATCCACACATATTAGTCTCTTAATTTTAATTACATAAATGTATTTTTCCTCTTTAATGAGCGTAGTTTATCCATTTAAACTGATCATTTCAATTTTACAGGCAGTGATCATAGGATCTAATATGCAGAGAGAAAATTTCCTGTTGGCATATTTTACACCACACAGATTGAAGAAAATACACTTTTTAATCCTCAATCAATATCTGAAGAGCATGCAATTAACAGATACCAAGGTAGTTAACATAAATCTGCAAGTTAAAGAGCCAATTCATTTTGATTTATAACACGTAGAGTAATAATTTCATCATCATCTCTCCCAGAAAGCATCTGAAGCTTTGTAGCATGAAGGTGTCAAAATTGTACTTAAGATTGTTCAGAGTACTGAATTGTAGTGGTTATTGCCTTTTGGTTCTTTGAAGTGTGGCACAGCACATGAAACAGTCCCCATTATAATATACCCTGCTCTTCTCCGTAGAGGTCACTGGATAACTTAGATCAGTCTTGGGTGAAATATTAAAAGGAGATTGTCAATTGTAATATGAACAATTCTCTTCCCCCCCCCCCCCTTGTCCTTTTACAACATGAATGTTTTGTAATAGAAAGTAGTTCTTTTAAGGGGAAAAAGATCCCTGGCATCATTTGTGCAATTCACGTCAATCAATAGCCAAATAAATTAACTGACTGGTAGGCATACATGGAATAATAATCTAACATATTTTTGCAACCCAAGTCTGTTTCCTTGTATGCGTTTTTTTCTGTGCAGGATCAGGTTGGTTGCTGCTGAAGTTTTGTGGCTGTGAAAATTTATTACCCACAGAGTCAATCTGCATTCTGGCTGCCAAGTCTGAATAAATAGAGTCATTGTGCTTGTCTGGAATATGTAACCAAAGTTCATCGAGTCAGCCTGACTTTCACATCCCATGGGATTCATAAAAGCCAACACCCTGGTATGTGCTCTTGATTCCTGCCAAAATTTTGTAAAATTGTATAAACAGAAGTTGAAGAAGGAATCATAACACACTCCCAGGGACATGGCTCTGCACTCCAGTCCTGGCTGATCTCAAAAGGGAAGACACAACTTTAATACTTTTTTTTCTTTTCAAAGAAAAAAGAGTAGTATGATTGTGCTCCTGTGAGCAGGTAGATGTGGGGGCTAAAAATGCCCCCCCTACAGAGTGCACAGGGAGGCAGCAATCAATCCTCTCAGGTTCCTTAATTTTGCTCCTGTGCCCTGCACTGAAGGAAAAGAGCAGGCAGCATTTGTCTGCAAGCAGCTGCTCTGCTCAAAAGGGACAGGGGCAGACTGGCCCTGTAGGGTCTGAGTGGTGTGAGCAAAACCAGCCCCTCCACAGGCAAGCCAAGACAAACAGAAAGCCATGTCATTTCACAGGAGACCTTGAGGGAAGAGCAGCTTCAAGAAAGTTCACAGCTTCAGGACTGTAAAATAAAAGTCTTGTCAGCCTGGTCTGGCTCGCCACCCAAAGCCCCACAGGGTGATGGCAGCCCACCCAGCCCAGTGCCGTCGTGGGGATCCTGGGATTGCCCCCCATGGCAGCCTAGGGACAGTCAGGGTGGGTTGCTGGTCCTGGGGGACCTGTCCCTGCTTCATCAT